TTTAGTATTGTCAAGATAAATTATTTCGATTGTAGTCAAGTGAGCACTCTGCCACCACCGCTAACATAGCCCGGCTAGCTCAGTCGGTAGAGCATGAGACTCTTAATCTCAGGGTCGTGGGTTCGAGCCCCACGTTGGGCGCAGCGAACTTTTTTATTTTTTTTTTAATATAAAATATATATTTTTTTTCATAATAACACATTTGTATATAGATATCTTGATATTTAATTTAAAATAAGAAATAATATGACTAAACATGGGTCGACAGCTCTAACATTAATATACATAAATATATACATACACGCATATTTTTTTAATTTTTTTAACATATTTATTTCTCGAAAATATAATATATGTAATAGCTGAATACATGTACTTATTACAATCGAACTTTCATAACTAGAAAAAAGAAAAAGGTTACGATGCAGTCAGCAGAAATACTGCGGTTTTTGGCTTGGCGGTAATACTGCTGTTGAACAACACCAAGCCAAAGCGCAAAATATTGAGTTTCAGAACAAGCTAGACAACAACAAAGAGTAAGGTTCGAGGTGCATACATACGGTCCACTTGTTTTGCCAAGATGCCTTAACTCTAAATTAATTGAATGATGTTTGCCCACTACCATCTCCAAAAGCAGGCGGTTGCTAGATTTTGCTGCTAGCTTACTTGCTGTCTTCATTAGGGTTCAGTCTTCGCAGATGATTTACCAGTTTCATCGCAGAGAAATTTTTGTGTGTTAGCATTTAATCTCATAAGATTTCTTTTCAAAAAGTGCTTATCAGTACATTCATCATGAGGAAAAATACTGTATTCATAAAAACAGCTTACTCCCACATTATTTTGAGCATATACATACATATATAGGGTGTCCTAGACCACCCCTCCACCACCTCTAAAATGTAGGGAAATGTTTTTTGTTAAAAAAACGCAACCATTTGACCTACCAAAAAGAGGATGCTCTTTCTGTTGACGGTATAACCGACTTCCGGTTTCGACCGGGTAGATCAGGTACGCAAAATATTAGAAAAGACGGAAGGGGATGGACAATAGCCATCTATCTGTTAATTTCAAAGCCGCTTTCGACTGCACGAAAAACAATTGCCTGTACACTGAGGGAAATAATGCATAGTAAAAATGAATACTTTCTATTTGAATATCGTTTAAAAATGTTCGTATTTAAAAATAGTATTTCCATACCAAAATTTAGCACGCTCGTATTTTAATGCCCACATCTGCATATATGTTTGTAAGTGTACATACCCTGCAGGAAATGTATCTAACTATAAGTTGATTAGGAAGGAACTAAAGGTCATTATTGTCTGGATATTTTCTTTGACGAAAGCTAACTATATTTCTATGGCGATGGCCGCGAAATAGTCAAGGGTTGCTACCTCTGCATTTGATGTCAACTAACTTGTTATATACTGACAATTCCTGATGATATTAATAGTTCCTTCCTAATCGACTTCCCGTAGGGTGGGCGCCCAAATATGCTTGCCACAATATTTTTTTTTCCAGAGGTTCAGGGTCCGAATTCCATTGCAGGCAACATGTAAATTAAATATATATATATATATTTTTTTTTATCTTGATTATTCACTTCACGGATGCTTTTTTAAAACGAACGCTGCATTTTAATATACGCGTAGTTGCTTGAATATTTATCACTATAACGTACTTTCGTTGACGCTTATAGTAAGCTCAACTATGTTTCTGATTTGATTTTACTATTTTTATCCCTCAGTGTACGCTGCGATTTGTGGGTTTTGAAACCCACACAACTTATACGGATGTGCAAAATTACGTTGAGCAACGTAAGAGTTGGGGAAAGACCTCTCCGGCTCATTTGCTACGAAATGGGGTTTCATTTGCTACCAGGCCAAATACAGAGAAAGAGTGAGGTCAGTTCAAACGGAAATATGTAACACCACCCAGAAGTAATGTGAAAAGTGATGCCAGGGTGGGCGAGTATTCGTAACCGGAGAAGTATTTTTATCTCCGGACATACGACTGCTGTAAAACGGCAGCTTTGATGATGTATTTACCATTTCAAAGATTTAATTATTATTTTTTTTTATTTACTAATACATATACAAAGTATCTTTAATGGATTTTTCATCGTAATATGTTATGCTTGTTTTAAAGTTTTTACTCCAGACTATTCTTTTTCGTAACCAATAGCTTAACAAGAAAAATTGCATTTGAATTACGCTCGGAAACTTATTTAACCATTTTTCTTTTCCTTCTTAATATGTACACAGAATATTGTCAAACAAGTCTGGCGACTTGAACGTAGCACGTGCCTGCAACTAGTGCACCGCCGGCGTACAAGCATTCAATGCAATTTGCTTTGCCCAATCAGTGTCATTGCTGCCAATTGAAATCAGGTTAACAGGCAAAAACTTTTTAAGGAAATTCTTCGACGCTTGCAGAATAGTAGTTGGCCGGGAGGTTACTAGTGTCAGTAGACATACATACTAATGTATGTATGTATGTAATTGACTAAATTCTTGGAGAGAAAAATATAGGTACTGGAATAATGGCAAGTGTGCAAATGTTCGAATAGAGAAATTGGTTGGGTAGAATATTGCCGTCCCACGTTGACAATGGCGTAACTTTCAAATGAGATAATTGTAAGCACAGTATACAGTAAACCAGGCATTGACAATATGCTTATTTGAAAATTAATACATGAAATATTGTGCATGTATAGGATTATTTTGTCATTAACCCAGCGGACCAAATGCTCGCAAATGATAACGCATGCGATTGAAAGGCGAGATTTAACCCGGCAAAACTCTCGCAAAT